ACATAACTTTAGCCTGCTATGGTTAGCTAGTTACCTAGCTGCCCAACAAGTTTGGGTTTGTTAGGTGACTAATATTTCAAGCTAATTTAGGTGGTTAAAATTGTCCCTTTATAGGCAACCCGTGTGTTGTTTAAGAACAAGTGTGTATGTATAGTGTAATTAGTGTTCAGCTACATTTTTAGGTTAAATGCTGTTAGTGTAGCTAGCTAGGTAAAGTTAGCTAACGCTACATCTACTTATTTGGCTCTACTGAACATTACCTCTAATATTTAACATAGAATTTGCTTTTGTGTTTTGTTCTTTGTGAGCTTTATTTTATGTAGTGAATTTAACGTTAGCTAACTAGAGATGCCGGTTTCTTTTATTTGCATATAAAGTGGCTTGGGCGATAGCTAAACTCTGAGGTAATGTTAGCTACCTAGCTAGGTAGCTTGAATCGCTATGGCTCTGTCCTAAAACGCTCGCTGTCATGCTAAATAGAGCTTTCGTTAGTATAGTGTATATCTCTCAGTGTGGTGGGGTGTGGTTTTGAACACAGCCTATGTTTCATTTGTGCTTTGATGAATTTATTAGTTATTTTGGATTAATGTAGTTAGTTAGTTTTATTCAGCTAACTAATGTAACCATAGCTTTGTCATTTTACCACAGCTAATGCTGCCTTCAAGTCCTGTCGGAATGATCAGATTTACGAGATAAATGCACATGAACGCCACCACAATGTCATATTTACTAGTTGGAAACTTGGATTTTTCAATGTGTCCTGAGTTTCTGAATTGAGGGCGTGCGACAAAAAAGTAATGATAGCCACTGATAACTGATAAACTGACTCTATTTCAGTTATTTATCACCCACAACCTTAACACTGCAGGATAAAGCCATCCAAACATGGAAATACAGATGTAAGCGCTCATTATGTGATACATCTAACTGCATAAAACATTACTCTGCTCACAAGCATCTACAGCTCTTTACTTTGTTGCAGTAACACAAAATAGACAGACTCTTTTTGGTGACAGAAAAACTAAAGGAAACCAAAAACATTATTTTGCAGTGCATCTATCTTATTTCCAACCAAAATCACTTGAACACAAATCAAGTCGTATTTACGACCTCCGAAGTTGTAAGAAGGAACTTCTGGGAAGGACTTGAAGGCAGCATAATTTCCTATGAAGTGGTACAAAGAGGTGTAGGCACATTTTGTCTTTTCTCATTCTCTTATTCGGGACGGTGGAGATTGTGATTGCAGTGTCTGAGATTTTTAAAATGCAGAGTTAAAGAAGAAAAACATCTCACAAGTGAAAGGAGCATTTTACAGTATAAATAAATGTAGCGGCATTATGCTTGTAGTGAACTATGTTGCCTGACACAGCTGACACAGCTGCCTAAAAACAATAGAAACGATCGGTTAAAATAGAAGTTAGGACACTGTTGGGGTTTATCCTAAAGTTAGGATGGTATTTAGGAGATTTAGTCTAGTTAGTTTGGATGTTTCTGTAATACTGTTTTCTTATCTGGAGTTAATGATAAGATTATGAACTGAATTCTGCAATTCAGTCCTACTGAAGTTATCATGGTGACTAAACAGATCAGATTTCAGTTTATGTAATAAGGCCCCAGATCTATAAGTCTGCATAATGTTGATGTCAACAAGGTGTGGGCTTTAAGGAGGACTGCAGGGCTCAGCGCAGCCTTTGGGACTGGTTTTATATCCTTACCCTCACGGTCTTAAAGAGTGCTCACACACTTTTGATAAATTTGAAAAAATGTCACTTTAGTGTGTACTTAAGCAGGACTGCAAAGTGTCGATGTTGGGATAGGCCGTTGGTGTTTGTCCATCAGACGACAACCTCAAGGCAAACCTCTGGCAAATATACAACAACTACTGATGTCAAACCAGTTGTCATAAATTCAGTTCATACTAACTGACTTATTGGAGCGATTTGGACTGATTAGTTAGTAATTCTAGCTTTTCTGCAGTTCCTCTAATATGAACCATCTCTGCTGAAAAAAAAACTGCACATACCAGCGTGCATTCCAATCTGGTGCTGGTTTAACTGTTCACCCAGCAAGGTCATGCTACTTGACCGCCATACCAGCATCCAAAACACAATTATACTGGTTTTGTTGGCGATCAGCATAACAGCTTCCATTGCTGCTGACCAGCTTACCAGCATCCAAAAACACAACATGTGCTGATTTTGCAGGTGACCCCCAGACAGCGAGCATGTATCGGTCCACTGGCTTGATAAGGTCAGCACCCACTGCTGGTCCACCCTCAGGCCACCCAGATTTTTGGCCTGCATACAAGCTCTAACTAGTTTTTAATCTCCTCAAACAGATTTTAAATGCACGCAGCCTTTTAAAAAAGAAAAAAAAAATGACTAGGCCTGATATAAAATGATTTTATATAAAATGTTGTTGCTGACATTGTGCTACTTTAAAATGATTTACTTTTAAATTATCATTACTTTAAATTATTTACTAAACTAATTTACAAAGTTTAACTAAAGAAAGGAAGGAAGGAAAAATAAGTAAATTGGACTGTGAGTGGATGAGCAATGATAAGTGGACTTTTGTCTAATAACACCAGTGGGCCGCCCAGAAAACACTGAGCAAAACACCAGTGGACCACCTGCTTTGCCATTATTGGGCCAACAGTGGTCCACTATCCTCCTACTATCAGGGCAGCTATATGGTTTATGCTGTTTTTTCTAGCAGGGAATAAAGAGCTGCCTATGAAGGCGTACACATTCTAGACACATTCAGGTTTGCTTATTTCAGGACACTGTAGACAACGTTTTAGTGAAAATATGTGCACTAGCTATTCGTTTGGTTTTAGGTGTTTTGATTATTGACCAGCAGATGTCAGTGTGTAGTGTGCAGTGTTTCATGCATAAGGTAATTTGAAGTGACTGCTTTAACTGGTTTAACACTTCAGAAAGTTTCTCCACTTTAAAAAGGAATTCCTTTTTGTCAAAACGTGTCTATAAAGGAAACGTACTAATAACCATTTCACGTAATAACTTTCTGTGGGGGAGTTGGACGTTGGGTTCCTATCACCACCACTGTGAACGATTCTGACTCGGTAAGTTTCTCTAAAACAGAGCATTTCACACCAAACCACTCTCATTTAATTGTGCAGAAGTTTGCCTGGAAATCCATTGTGACCACACACAGTTTTGTTTTCAAGCCTGAACCAAGTTGTTTATAAGCTCAAGCGATAAACTACTTCAAAATACTTCATATTTAAAAACCATTCACACTGGGTTTCAGGTAGCAAACTACAACATCTTTTATACATGTTGAGAAAACCAGAGACCTTGTAGAGAGGAGAATTACCACTCTGCAATGTATTCTGGGTTTCTCAAACGCTAGAGCGCTCCTGAGCGAGTCCAAAATCAATGGGTTATGATGGTACGTTCGAGCAATATCATAGTTTATAAATGCTGAAACATTTTTAATTTTTAAACTCGAGTTATAGGAGTTTAAAACGACGCCTCATGTACGTCAGTGACGTCTGTGAGTGCGAACAGCCATTGAGCTGCTCCGCTCGCCAATCAATCAGCACTCAGTAGCAGTGACATTAGTGTCCTGCTGCCCAAAACCTGTTTGCTGTAGAAAAATGGAAACATACAGGTAAGTTTTCTTTGCTATTTTAGTGAAATACATCCTTCTACTTTCTACAATTAAAGGAAAGTTCTAGGCAAGTGATTAGAAACTATTTCAACTTTTAGTTTTTAGCCATTGAGCTCCATTTACTCCCATTCTTTTAGGAGTTGCTCGAGGGCTCCCTCTAGCAATCTGCAGTCCTGTTTTTTATATAACAGAGGAAATAAGAAGAGATCAGGCTCCTCATAAACAGGCTCTGATACAACTTCATCACTTCACTCTGCTAGCCTGCTGGTTAACATGCTAAAGGCTAGCAAAAAATTAAATAAATAAAGGCAATTCATCACTGTTAATAGCCAAATAAAGCAATAATTCACAGAATTGATGTTCGCTATGATCAAACTTTAATTAAAAAAAAAGCATTACAAAGTTTGCATGGCTAGCTATTGCTCCATGATGCCAACATAGCTGTGGTTAGGTATGATTACAGTTGAAAAAAATTAAAAACTTTGAATTCCATGCTTATCTAAGCTGTTTTTTCTCATTGACCAACATACCAGCTTTCAAAACACATGTCAGTTTTGGTGGTGTCTGACTACATCAGTCCATGCTGATTTTTCTAGCAGGTTAGTGCTTTACACTGGTCTTAAAATACTGGCTTATGTCCACAAACAGTGCATAATATGTCTAACAAAGAGCCACTGGGGATTATTTATAAAAAATACATTATTAGTCACAGGAGTACATACTATTCTTCAGCTTCAAATGAATTAAAATATTTGATGATGGACCGGTGAGCGTTGCTTTGTTGTTTCATGCAAAAATAGATTTACTTGTATTATTTATTTAATATTTGTATTCTGTTTTGTCTGCACCAATTATTCCAAGATTTATTACCAGTGAAAACTAAATTGGTACATATAAAACTTTCTATATTTACATGAAATAATTCAATCTGCACACAATTGAATTTTCTCTATCAATCTGAACATGTCACAGTTGATCTTTAATTATAAAACTTGAGTTACCATGGGGTAAAATCTAATTCACACCAGTAAAAACTGCTCCTCCCATGATTTTAGCCATGAATTCTTTATAGTAGTAACTGAGTTCTTACAAGCTCAAAAAGAACTCCTTCCAGTAAAAGTTGAATTTTAAATTGATTTCTGTGTCAAATTTCGTGCTTCCACTAATACTAATTTCTGACATCAGGAAATTGTGGATTAAAAGGTGAAACTGCTTGCCATATCTCCACCTTCTCATCCTTTTTCTCCTCCTCTTCCTCCTCCTCTTTCTCCTTCTTTCTTTCATAGTTTACAAAACACTGAACCAGGAAGTTTCTCAGTTCAGAGAAAATGAAACTGATCTCAGACTGCTGCTCTCTCTCTCTCTCTCTCTCTCTCTCTCTCCCCCTCTTAGTCTGAACATTCAGGAAAATGGCAGAAGCCAGTATTTCAGGAGATCAGGACCGGTTCATCTGTCCAGTCTGTCTACATCTGCCGAATGATCCAGTGACCGTTCCCTGTGGACACAGTTTCTGTATGGTGTGCATTAATGGCTGCTGGGATCAGGAGGATCAGAGGGGGGTCTACAGCTGCCCCCAGTGCAGAGAGACTTTCACTCCAAGGCCTGTTCTACGCAGAAACTACTTCATAGCTGAAATGTTGGAGAAACTGAAGAAGATAGAAGGTCAAGCTACTTCTCCTGCTGGACCTGGAGATGTGGAGTGTGATTTCTGCACTGGGAGAAAACTCAAAGCTGTCAAATCCTGTGTGATGTGTCTGGCCTCCTTTTGTGAAGATCATCTTAAACCTCACTATGAAGTTCCTGGTTTGAAAAAGCACAAGCTGGTCAAGGCATCCAATCAGCTACAAGAGAAGATCTGCTCTCAACACGACAAACTGATCGAGATCTACTGCCGCACCGACCAGAGCTGTATCTGCTATTTGTGTACGATGCATGAACACAAAGGTCACGATACAGTTGCAGCTGTAGCAGAAAGAATACAGAAACAGGTGAGAGCTAACTCGGTTCTTGCTGATTATGATGCTGGACTGGAATGTAAGAGTAATAAGTCAAAAAAATGAACTTTTATTGATCAGAACTAGGTATCTTTCTGAAGCCACTTATAAATTCTAAAGGCCACTGCAAATCCAGCAGCATCCCACTATTCAGCATAGATGTACGCTGCCACTCTGCGACTTCCAGCACTGTTCAGTTTCTCTGAGCAACACATTATACTACTCAGCATTTTACTATTACTACTTCACATTAAACCCAGACTGAGACCACAAAAAGTGTTTAAGGTTAAAAGTATATAAAACTTTACATTTTATTTAACAAAACTTTACATTTTATTTAATATTAGTTATTACCTTTTTCTGTGAACACTGGCCGTAGATGAGGATCGAAGGAACTGTCTCTCCAGGTTGGAGTTTACTTAGCCGCTCTATGCTAATATCCAGTCAGCGAGTCACTTTGAGGGGAGCTGAAGATCCAAAGCACGTCGGCATTCATTTTCGATTCCATTCACACAAAGCAAATTAAGGGGAATCCATGCAGTAAAGCTAGCATTAGAATGTGCAGCAGGGAGAAACAACACAGGAAGTTTCTTAACAAACCTCTCTCCCTCCTTCTCCCCATCCTTCTCAGAAACTAATCACTGGTCTGCGAGCCTCCACACTTCTTAAATGTGAAAATGTATTTTTCAAGCTGTATAATGGTAAAGCAGTCCTCTCAAATTGTCTCTTAGTTCTTTTACCAAAATGGCAATTATCGCTTTTTACTGCCATTGGGTTACTTGTCCATCATCGACAATGTCCAGTTACATTGCCTTATCACCCAGGCCTAGCAATGAAATGTTACTTTTTTCTCTACGGTGGATGATGTGCCAAGATGTTGACTTGCCAAGGTAACTTTTAAAACTGAAAAATACCTTTTCATGGTTTCTTACTCTTTTCTTCCACTTCATTGTTAGCTGAGCTAGAGAAACAACTGCACTAAGTTACTTTAGGCACTTCCTTGACATCATGCCCTTGTCAACAGCAGGACAACAGCAGGCTTCATAGCAGGACACTAGCATAAAAATGACAGTAACATAATATACAGTAAGTTAGTATATTGTCTCTTGTTACAGCGCTTTGATTAGTACATAGGTAATGTTTATTTTTCTCCCTGATTAAGCAAAACTAACAAAAAAATGCAAATAATCTTTTTCACAGAATACAATTTAGTCTCAAATGCAATCAAAAAATATCTCACTGTACAGGCCTGACCATAGCAGATCACATGTGGCTTGAAATTTACACCAAGAAAGGCAGCTAGTCTATAGTCTATAGGGTAAACTGAGAAATGATAATTGTCTGTTACCTAACCTTTATTCATCTCATACTGATAAATCTGCGTTATGTTGAAAGTCTTAATAGATGTTATAGATGCATTTTGTACTGTATACTGGCATTAAGAGTTACAAGTTCAAGGCTTATTTTGTTATTGAAAATCCAAAGGAATCTTGACCGTATAATAAAAATTGTATTTAGCATGAAAATATATGTGTTGCTCCTAGTATAATGAGTCGTTACATAAATGTGTCATCACTTAGCACTGAACAAGTCGAACGAGTCAAACTAGCCAACAATTTTTTTTGACCAGCCAACACCCATCTTACAGGATTTTACAGTACAGTGTTATTTAACAAAATAAAGGTTGTGCAAGAGGGTTCTTTGAACCAATGCCATAGAAGAACCATTTTTGGTTCCCTAAAGAACCTTTCAGTGGATGGATCTTTAAAGTTTAAAGAATGCATACATGATGTAGTTAAAGGTTTGCCCTAGAACAGGAGTGTACATGATCTATTGTTTGAAGATTGAGACCATTTCAGTAAACAAATGGAATCAGGTAGCTCCAGAATATTTGGAATGAAAAACCTCCAGCCACACCAGCCCTTTCCGCAAAAGAACAGATACTCCTGCCCTAGAACAAGACCACCCTTTTTTAATACCCTTTATTTTTGCTTTGCTTACATAGCAGTGTTACCTGTCTTTAGAGCAACAGAGTAAAATTTTACTCTTTAGCAGAGGCGTCAAGTAGCCTAAAAGTAAAAGCAAAAGTACCTTTCCTAAAGCAATTTGAGGAGAAGCACAAAAGTAGCAGTTTAGGGTTTTTCTATCCATCTTTTCACGTTTTTCACATGAACACTGTAAGATCATGGCAAAAATATTGTTTATTACTGTTTTAGTGAAGTTAAAGAAAGTGTGCTTGGTCTTTAAGTTATTGTTTTATGTTGCATTAAATGTCTCTGAGTCATCCTGGGATAACGTTCAGTTTGTAGCTGTCACTACAGCCAAGTAAAGAACAAATGCGGTAAGAACAGAAATTTTACGAGCATAAACCTCTCAAGAAAGTGCAGAGCTCTTAATGTTTTTCTTGATGTTTATTGTTGAAATTTGTCCCCAAGCAGCTGAACATCACTGCTTGCTGCTAACAGGCTCTCTGGTTTACACTTCAAATTCTTTTTATAACTAGACATATTCTGCCCTCCCTAGAGAATGCTGAGCACGTCAACAGAAAGCTATCTGGCTACGCGGCAATAATAAAAGACAGAGTTCAAGTTCAAGCCGTTAAAGAAGTAATTATTGGAATACAGCAACTTACAAAGTATATATCACTTGCATACCTGTTATGAGTGTAAATTGTCTACATTAGCTTACAACATACAAGGTCTAACATGAATGGTAGCGCAGCAGTGGTAGCGCTGCATTAAAGCAGCAGCAGCACCTCCCCCAGGTCGCTCCCTGCTATCACAGAATATTATGAATTTTGAGACAGAATGGCACAGTTGGATAATGAAGAATAAATCAGAATAAACTATAGATGATCTGAACTAGTAATGTACATTTATTTGGGAAGGGGGGTTAAATAATATTTAGGTGGGCTAAAGCCCACTAAAACTGGCCTAGCAACACCCCTGGCCACAATGGATGATCATTTGTAAGTACTTTGTTTAATGTTACTGCTATGCTGTGCTTGGCTACCTTTGTGCTTCAAACAGGTCATGTTCATACGCTTCTAATCTCTAAATCAACATAACAGTCCTTCCCACATTCATCTCCAAAATGCTGACAGTATCACAGCTGGCTGGGCTCCATGAACTCATACTTCTGCTACCAGAGTGATAAGAAGCTCTTAGATGCACTGGAAACTGTAGCTAGGTGTTTGCGACTTTGTTATAAACCCCTTATTTTTACTTATTAAACTGAAATTCTGACTGGTTAATGTTAAAATGTAATTTTGAATAAGTTAGATATTTTGTGAGGTCACTGACTTTGTGTTTTTGGTTTATTTATTCATAAAACTTTAATATTGGAACTGAACTTGAACATCTTTTTGGGTGGGCCACTGATAAATGTGGGTGGACAGTACCACTGGTTACCGTTAAGTAACTCTTTTTAACTAGTTTATATGCTATATTCTCTGTACTTGGACTATATTTTTCCCTCATTAGATTAGGCTGATCAGTTCAGCAGAGAGCTAATATCAAATTATCAGTGTTGAACAATAGCAGAACTTACCACCATTCTGTCTTTGCTTCTCTGAAGGCTTTAATGTTATCAGTCTTCACCAAGTCAGTGAAACAGAGTATTATTTTATGGGTATGTTTAGCAAGAATCAAATTATATTTGTATTAAATACTAAATTATGTTTTATATATTAACATGTTTAAAAATATTTGTTCATATTAAATTCACATATGTAGTGCTAATATGGAAACAGATCAGATTTGAGCATGGCATAATGAACAACTATATTAATATTTGAGATGGAATTGTAAAAAATTCTATATTCCTAAAATTAAATAAAACGTTGTGTGCCAAAGCCCAATACCTCCCCCTATCACCCCCCACCCCCACACACCCCTTAAAGTCCCCAACCTGCCAAAATGGTGAGAGTTGGCAAACCAGCTTGAGTACATGGAACTGAGTAAATAGAAGTAGTTACTACCAACCTCTGTGTATCTGCTACAAACAACATATTTAAAAGATACTATATGCAGTATAATGTGTTTCTCCTCAGACTGAGCTAAATGAGCTACAGAGAGGGTTTCAGCAGAGACTCCAGGAGAAGGAGAAGAAGCTGCAGGAGCTAAAGGAAGCTGTGAACACTATTAAGGTGAGTCGTGAGCAGAGAGCTGCAGATCTGTGAGATTACAGAACTTGTGTTCTGTAATGTTCAACAAAGTGCTCAATAATGTCACATCACATCTGAAAGCACTAACTTCACACACTTAAAATGCATGAAAAGTCATCAATCAGTACTGTGAAAAAGTCAGAGGCTACCTCTAATTTATTTTATTTCCATTCAAGTACATTCAGTACTTTAATACATTAAGTTTATTTTTCAGTTTCAGGGGAAAAAAAGACAGAAAACATATTTAAGAGAAAATTACACACACATTTTCTAAGCTGCTTATCCTTCTGGGTTGCAGGGGGAGCTGGAGCCAAGTTGTACGTCAGTACGGCTGGGTGCTTCCCAACAGATTGTGCCATCTTAAATGTTGTATAATTAAAAAAATATATATTGCGTTAGTGTGCATAACCTACTTAAATTAAGTTGTTGTTGTTATCGTAAATGAGTGCAATGTACCTTAACAATTAAATCTTTCAAATATAGCTGATTTTAATGGAAGTGTATTAGTGCTGCAGTAGAGAAGAGCAGGTGTTATTAAACATCAGAAAAGCACTGCTGTATAGCTGTAAGTAAAGCACGTTTCATATGCTTGATCCTCATCTGTCTCTTTCAGCAACAGTCTCTGTAGCACAGGGGCAGCAGAAATCGCACCCTAGGCTCATCTGAGGAGCTTGCATTATGAGTTTTACGTCTTGTTGAAGTCTTTTTAGCTGATTGAGTTGTAGTTGAATGTCCTTTAAAGTCAAAGCCTATGATTTTTATACTCACTGTACAAAAACACTTGGTCCAACTGACATGTCCCTAGTGTGCCCTTAAGCATAACCACAAACTGCAGGTGTGGACTTTGGGACAGGTCAAGAGTTTGGTTCTCTTAGAGTTGGGTTGGAGCAAAAAACTGGCTGAGGTTCCAGAGGGTGTGTTAAGAAACAGTGATCTTCAGTCACAGTAAGAGAGTGATAGCTGATCTTTAAATGGACCCCTCCCCCTCTCTTTCTCTCTGTGTGTCCTAACAGCGCTCTGCTCAGGCAGCACTGGAGGACAATGAGAAGATCTTCCTTGAGTTGATCCGCTCCATCGAGAAGAAGCGCTCTGAGGTAACGGAGCTGATCAGAGCTCAGGAGAAGGCTGAACTGAGTAAAACTAATGAACTGCTGAAGATCCTGGAGCAGGAGATCGCTGATCTAAAGAGGAGAGACACTGAGGTGGAGCAGCTTTCACAAACTGAGGATCACATCCGTTTCCTCCAGGTAACTGTCACTCATCTGATGTGGTCAGATATACATTACAGTGCCTTGCAAACATTTTCAACCGACTAAAAAGTCATCCGATTCGTCTGGATTACAAATGACACTTACACAGATTGTTCCAGCCAGTATTTTTATTGCAAATTATTCATTATTATTATTCATTATTCATTATTATTCATTCAATATTGAAAACAACCAACCAATCAGACTTCAACACTCATAGTATCCAAAGCGTCATGTCTGAATGTCATTCTGTAAATATCTTGCTGAAATGTAAAATGTAAAATGTAAATTGGATCAGTTTTATTTCAACAGTTGACAATGCTTTGCACTAAATTGTTATTCAGTTATTTTTGTTGATTTGAACCTGGAATGATTGACTTTGCCATTAGTCTAAATTTTTGTTGGATATCACACCTTTAGTTGTGTTTGATTATTGGTTACATTTAAACTCACTTTTTGGTGACTTTTTTGTATATTTGCAGCTTTTCAATTGTAAGTTTCTTTCTGGCTCATGATTAAATGCAGTGTCTTGTTCACACTATCAGTTGGGCTTGTTTGGCGTGTCAGGTAGAGACAACAAACACTCTGACAATCGTGCTTTGAAAGTAGCTAAAAAGTAATGCACTACTTTACAAAAAGTAGCTAAAAAGTAGCAACTACTTTTTCTGGAAAAGTAGCTAAATTGTAGCTAGCTACACATTTTGGGAAAGTAGCTACAAAGTAGCTAACTACTAATTTTTCAGTAGCTATCCCAACCCTGGCTGTAATATGTGAAGATGTGTCTCTGACTTTCTAATTGCACCCACTGATGTCATTAACACACAAAATTAAATATGACCGGTCAAACTTTTTTCAGGTAATCATTTTTGTCACAGAATGTTTTCTTACATAAAACCTATATCACTTTAAATTAATTAACTCTGAGGGTAGGTCTTTTAAAATAAAATATGAAACAGTACAAAGTATCAGTGTCAAGAGAAATCCAGACAAATCTGATATGGGGTTGAATACTTTCCAAGGCACTTTATAGTCTATTTTTTACTCTTGTTTACCTTTATTTCTATTCATTTTGTGTTTTTTTTTTCTCTGTGTAGAGTTTCCAGACTCTCTGTGTCTCTGCTGGATCAAAGAAATTTCCATTTTCCCAATTTTTCTCTGACTTGAGAAGTAACCTAGAGAAATTGAAAGCATTCACTGAACAGGGTAAGAGCAGCTTCCTGCTGAGAAACATAAGGATGGAAGTCTTCATCACTGACAGACTAAAGAAAATCATAATAAAGCGCACAACATTTAATCAAAGAGTGAGAGTGAGAGGGTCACCATTTAGGGGGAGTGGGGTGATAGAGGCACCATAAGTGTTTCATTCATTAATTGGCTTATATATCATTTTGTATTTTAGGTCCACTTACAGCATTTGAGTAGGGTTTATGTACCACAGTCAGCCTTAATTTATTTGTACATGACCATTTTCCAATAGCTCTTTTAGGGATGCATCAATACCAATTTTATCAGACTGAGTACTACTACATGTTTTTATTACTTGCCGATACCAGTTACGATACCATACTGAGTAAACTACTTAGAACTAAGCACTTATTAATGCGTAAATGAGCGCAATGTTCTTTAACAGATAAATTGTTAAAATGTAGCTGATTTTAAATGAAGTGCATTAGCTAGCTATGCTACATTAGTTAGCTTGGATGGAGTAGCGCTGCAGCGGAGAAGAGTGGGTTTAGTCCACAGAAAAGCGCTTTGGTACAGCTATAAGTAAAGTACGTTTCATAGTTTTGGTTCTCATCTGTCTCTTTCAGCAGCAGCACAGTGACAGCAGGAATTACATCTGAGGCTAACATGTGAGGAGCTCATGCTTCCAGTTTTACTTCTGAAGTCTTTTTGGCTGATCGGCTGGTTGAGCTGGAGCTGAATGTCTTCTAAAGCCAGACATACACTGTGATTTTAGAAATTTTGTTCTATTCAGTCAAGCGGAGTAAAGTCAGCATATACGGACTTTGGTTCTGCAGATGTCTCCAGAATTTTTTGCTTCAGTTTAGCTAGCCTACATGCCTCCAACCATATGGGGAAATGTTTGTATGTGTTTAAATACGGGCTAAAATTGCTTAGTGTATGTCTGGTGGGAATCTGCCAAGGCGGAATATTTAAAGTGACCGAGAATTTGTGTCCGACCTCCACAGCAGTAGCAACACTACTCTGTGTGAACAGAGCCTCGTCCACACAGCCTGAGTTGTTTGTCTATTAGCATGGTAGCGTTCACGCAGTTTACGCTACATGTTGTCGGGTGGAATCAGATGTTAGTATTGGTGCATTTTTTATGAGTATGAATTTGAGCAAAATAACATGATATCAGACTGATACCCGATACCAGTATTGGTACTGATGCATCCATTCTCTCTCTATCCCCTACTGTGCCTTTAGGACTGATGTAAGTAGATACAACAGAGCTGACTGGCTACCTGTATTGTGCCTTATTCAAAAAGCATTCCATGTTGAAACATTCCTTACAACTTCAGTGTGAATAAGTGGGGTATATTCAGAAAGAAGATAACTTTGTTGACATTTCCTCGTTCCTTAAAGCTAATAGCATATTGACCAGCAATGGCATGAGTTCATCATTCTACATATTCCAGTACGCTATTGAAGTAAAAACAAAACCATTACAAGATTATGCACACAAGAACATGGGTTAACATAAACCCAACAACCATGCAACACTTCCTTATAAAACTTGCACTCTTTGCAAGGATATTGATGAAGATGAAATCAGTTAAAGTTGGACAGCTAATTAGTTAGCTCCAACAGTCAGAATTATGATCAGCTGTAAGGTTAAAAAGAGTTAATTTTTTTAAAAATCAGAAATTTGGTGTGAAATGGGCCCTTTAAATAATTATTAAAGGCAGTGCCAACAGTAATGCATCTTGCATTCTGTCAGTGGTTTAGCCTGATCACCGTAAGAATGGGAGTTTCATTTTTCAATTCAAATGCCACCACAAACCTAAATCGGGCTTTCAAAAATGCCAGAACAGATGAAAAAAGATGTGCAAAATGTAAATAAAAACAGAACACAACGACATGCAAATCATTTAAACCCTATATTTAATTGAAAATAGTACAAACACAACAAACAATACCAAATGTTAAAACTGTGAAATTGTATTGTTTTTTTGAGCTTATTATGCCCATTTTTTCAATTTGATGCCAGCAACACAATTTAAAAATGTTAGGACAGGGGTAACAAAAAACTGGTTAAGTTATGTAATGCTAAAATAAACATCTGGTGGAACATCTCACAACTAATTAGGTTAATTGGCAACAGCTCAGTACAATGACTGGTTATAAAAAGAGCATCCCAGAGAGGCTGAGTCTTTCAGAAGTTAAGATAGGGAGGGGGTTCACTACTCTGTGAAAAACTGCATGGGCAAATAGTTCAACAAGTCAAGAATAATGTTTCTCAATGTAAGACAGCAAAGAACTTGGGGAGTTCATCACCAGAGAATCCGGAGAAACCAGCCAATGCTGGCTGGCCATGATCTTTGGGCACTCAGATGGTGGAAGTCACTTCTGCAGTAGAAGTCACTGCATGGGCTCAGGAACACTTCCAAAAACCACTGTCTGTGAAAACAACACTGCATCCACAAATGAAAGTTAAAACTCTACCATGCAAAGAAGAAAACACATATAAACAGGATGCAGAAACGCTGCCGCCTTCTCTGGGCCTGAGCTAATTTAAGATGGACTAAAACGAAGTGGAAAAGCCCTGTAGTCCCACAAATCAAAATTTCAAAACTTGCAGAACTACAGCAGTCGATCTCTTCAGTTCCCAAACACTTACACAGTTAAAAGAAGAAGTGATGCAGCACAGTGGTAAACGTGCCCCTGTCCTAACCTTTTGTAAACATGATGGCATCAAATTCAAAATGGGCATATGTCATTTTCAAAGAACAATAAAATTTCTCAGTTTCAACATTTAATATGTTGTTTTTGTATTATTTTCACTTAAATATAAGGGTTTAAATCCCTGTGATGCAGAAGGATAAGCAGCTTAGAAAATGTGTGTGTGTGTGTTTGTAGGGTTTAAATGATTTGCACATCTTTGCATTCTTTTTTTTTTTATAACATTTTACACAGTGTTCTGTCTTTTTTGGAACTGGGGTTATATCAAAATATGCTGGAGCTGTTAACAGAAAGAAAGCTGATGCTGTAGCAACTGTAGTGGTAAAGTGATGTAATGGAGCTGTGAAAACTAAACCATTCATGTTTTACTGCAGATTTACAGTGTTTTCAGGATTTGTCGCTCATAAATTAGTAGTGCAACATACCTTCTGTTTTTGTGTTGAAGAAATTTGAATGCTCATTCTGCGTGGGCAGTCATACCACTGCCACTGCTTTGCTGTAGATCTTCTGCCTTCTTCTTTCTTTTTGGGTGGAGAATGTGAGCCTAATTCACTCATTTTGACCTTTTTTGTTTCAGCTGCTGCGTTTCGAAATTTACCATCAGAGCCAAAGACCAGAATACAATTTCTGCAGTGTATGTACAAAACACACATGCACACACACATAAAGATGATCTTGTCAAACATTTAACGGCTCAGACTCACAAAGTTAGGGAGGAAGAACTGGTGCTGACAATAGCCGATTGATGATTGCCTTTTGACAGTTCACCATCAGCTCACGTCTCCTGTGAAATCAGCGCAAAGACTACAGCTGAAATAAAACTTAAAATGTGGGCCTTTAATGCGACAGTGTGAAAGGGAACAACATAGTAATGTATAAAACCTTAAAAACCGAAACATACAAAGTAAAGAATATGCAAGTTTAAGTTACAACCTTGTTTCCGAACTTAAAAACTTTTCCTCAATTTGAAAGTGAAATGCTTACATGTTCACGGCCTATTGTATCGTATTTTTTTCTGTTTCAGAATGTGCCAAATGTTGTCAATGGGTGACCGGACTGGAATGCAGACAGGCCAGTTTAGCATTCAGACTCTTTTACCACAGAGCCATGCTGTTGTAATACATGCAGAACGTGGTTTGGTATTTTCTTGCTGAAATAAGCAAGAGCCTTCCCTGAAAAAGACGTTGTCTGGACGGCAGCATATGATGCCAAAACCTGTATACATCATTCAGCATTAATGGTGTCTTCACAGATTTGCAAGTCACCAATGCACTAATGCTCTACTATACCAACAAAAATACTGGCTTTTGAACTGTGTACAGATAACAAGCTGGCTGGTCCCTCTCCTCTTTAGCCCGGAGGATTTGTCATCCATGATTTCCAAAAAATAATTTCAAATTTTGATTTATTGTTCCACTTTGCCTCATTTGTGGATGTAGCGATAAACTGAGTTCAGAGACAGTGGTTATCAGACGTTTTCCTGAGCCCATGCAGTGATTTCCTCTACAGAATCTTGTCTGTTTTTAATGCAGTGCTGCCTGAGGGCCCAAAGATCATGGCCAGCCAGTATTGGTTTCCGGTCTTGTCCCTTGCATACAGAGATTTCTCTGGATTCCCTGGATCTTTTAATGATATTATGTACCATAGATGATGAAAAGCAAAAGTTCTTTGCTTGTTTACTTTGAGAAACGTTATTCCTGGATTGTTGCACTATTTGCTCTTCAGTCTTTCACAGAGTGGTGAACCCCTCCTCATCTTTACTTCTGAATGTCTCAGCTTCTCTGGGATGCTCTTTTTATACCCAATCATGTTACTGACCTCTTGCTAATTAGCCTAATTAGTTGTGAGCTGTTTATTTTAGCATTACGTAACTTTACCAGTCTTTTATTGCCCCTGTCCTAACGTTATTAAAATGTGTTACTGGCGACAAATTCAAAATGGGCATAAAGGTTTTGAAAATAATTACATTTCTCAGTTTAAACATTTGGTATGTTGTCTTTGAACTATTTTCAGTTAAATAAGGAGTTTAAGTGATTTGCACATTTTTCATTTACATTCTTCACAGTGTCCCAACTTTTTTGGAAATGGGGTTGTAAACCCTGTGTGTAAAAGTGAAGCTAAACCACTGATGTTTGGATAAAAAGTCTGTTTAATAGTGAATATTTTGTAAATCAAACAGTGAAACAACATGCATGGTTGGTGCAGGTTTACAACTATATCACGTGAAAGTTCATGAAAATAAGTGTCTTATGCTTTATATGTTAGTGTGTTATCAGAGCACTCTGTGTTTATTTGTAACAATATTAAATATTTTCTTGTGAAGAATATGACTTTCAAATACTGCTTGTTTAAAAATTTAGACATTTGAATATTGTTAAAAATAGTTAAAATGGCCTCCCCTGGTGATAAAACATCCGTATTGCCGTTGAAAAATGAGGCTACTCTTTGTGCCCTTTGTACTCTTTCGTTTCTCTCATGCTTAAAATGCTGGTTAGAGCAATGGTTCAGCACACCGCCCAAGCTACAAATGATAGTCGGTCATCGATGCTCACCGCTGACCCGACAGTGTTCGTTGGTAGACGCTAGATAAACTGTAAAATATAAAATATAGAAATGATTAAGGTGTGAAAGTATGTCAGTACAAATGTATTTCTCAGGATTTATAATGTTTGTTATTTATTAAATGTTTTATGGATAAAAAAACAAATTTCTTTTCTTTTTTTTTAGGCTGGCATCAGCTGACTCTGGATCCCAACACAGTATATCATTCCCTCGGCCTGTCTATGGACAACAGAAAGGTGTGGTGGAGAGGGGGATTATACCGTCACTCTGAGCATCCGGAGAGATTTGATTCCACACCTCAGGTGTTGTGTAAGGAGAGTCTGAGTGGACGCTGTTACTGGGAAGTCGAGTTGAACGGAGGGGAATTGGGAGTGTTAATATCAGTCTCATATAAAGGAATCAAAAGGAGAGGACGGGGTAACGAGTGTGTGTTTGGATATAATGATCAGTCCTGGAGTCTGTGGTGTCCTTCCTCTCCGTCTCTCCAACACAATAACGTTAAGACTCTAATCTCAGGTCAGTCACCCTCCAGAATAGGAGTGTATGTGGATCACAGTGCAGGAATTCTGTCCTTCTACAGCGTCTCTGACACAATGACCCTCCTACACACCGTCCACACCACATTCACTCAGCCTCTCTATGCTGGGTTCTGGGTTTATCTGGGATCATCAGTTAACCTGTGTGACCCAGCCAAATAAAGAGCAAAACAGGATCATTACAGCTCTGACATTTTCATTCATTTTTATGTTTATTTAATTGTAGTTTCCACCAGTTTAGATTCAGGTGAGGGAGGATTACACTTTGCCATAACCAGGCTGCAGTAGACAAAAACCTCAAATCGTGAAAGAATTCTTTGATTGGAAGTTGAAACTGGCGATGTTTGTCCATGACTCGCTCCATAGCAGCTGTTTTAGTACTCACAAAACTGTCATGGACAATGTCCGTAAAAGCTGTATTTGATAAGCATTAAGCAAATAAACAATTCATATAATTCATATATTATCATAAATCAATTGGAGCTGTATTTGGTAAAGCAGATTCTTATTTTTTAAATAATTTGAGTGACTCTTCTTAATTATGTTTATTTTATTAAAACAAATTATAAAACATTCCATTTTGTCAATATCAAACAATCATAAAACTATAAATGTTTTAAAAGTTAAGAGAATATTGAAACTGGTAACACTGATTTCACTGATCGTTGATTTGTCCTTCAGATCCATTTATCTAAATTTTACTGGACATTTTATACTATTTATGCTCCCACAGCTTGAATGTAATATATTGTCTTCTTTTGTTTTGAAGAACGAAAATCGCCTGTCACATTTGAGAGTTCAGTAAAACAAAAAAACAATGGGCTTTAACTGCTCACCAAGTGGCCATTATGGACAGGGGCACGGACACTTCCTGCTCTAAAATGCAGGGGTGTGGCTAAAAAATAAGGCTGACATGAAGACATGAGACTTTTTATTTTAAAAAATTAAACAAAAATGCAATTAATTTTTTTTTTAGGATGATTTTCAGAAGTGTAAATGTAGGGTTTGGGTCAGACACCTCCCAAAAGAAAGCACCCTATAAATGATGATTTTGTATATATTTAGCTTATTACTATCTCTAATAAAGCCTTAGGTTTAAATAGATCAGAACATAATCCTTGTAAATATCTAAGCTCTTTTTTACTGTGGGAGCGCAGTTTGAACTCATTCAGATGTATACATGTCATTTTCCAAAATGTCGATTTTTGTGTCCCTAGATATATTACACTTGAAAAACATTTTAGGGTTACGATTTACTTATATTTCAAAACAAATCAATGTTATTGTAATAATAACACCTTCTTGAGCCTCAATTTATCAATATTGTTTTTTAAATCAATTATCTAGAATTCCAAGCACCACAGAAGTGCGCGTCCTCATGTGTAAAGGGTGAGCATCATGTGTAAAGGGTGAGGCCATATTTTGAGGTAAAAAAACATGTTTTTTGCAGTTTTAACTGCAGTAATCTATACATGACTATAAAATCTATGATTTAAATGACATGAAGAAAACAAATAAATATCATAAAATATATAATGAAAGTTGTCGTTCCCAGGAATTGTGTCACTGGTGTTACTGTGTCACAAAAAATCTCTTATTTTGAAGTAAAAATCACACTGATGACATCACTTGATTCTTTTGACCTATTTTCTGAGGATCTATGAAGAAAAGCTCATGGTGAGTCCACTGTGTCTTTCAGTTATCAGAGATTTTCTCATTTAGCTCATAATTTCATATGAAGCTTTTAGTTGAAGTCACTGGTGTGACCTACTTTATTCTTAGGTAATTGTGAAAAGATAGAATACAAATGGATTAAAACATATTTTAGTGGATATAGCATGACTGACAACATGTGGTTTGATGTTCTGTAGCAGTTATTTTGTAAAATGCATTTTTCTATGAAAATGTCTCTGGTGTTACCTTTCTTATGTGTAACACCAAAGAGGATTGGTAACACTAGTGACGCCTATGGACAGATAAAAAAGTGGACGTTTCTGTAGAATGACCCATATATATACATATATACATATATACATATATATATATATATATATATATATATATATACTTGTCTTAATTAAATCTCTTTTTCCTTGTAAACTCTAAAGAAGTGAACCAAAGCAACAAAATGCTACGTGGCACAAATGAAGTATGTGTGAAAGTAACACAATAAGTATTGATTTTACATACGGCAAAGTCTTCATTTTACCATTTCCAAACCTGGGTATTATTTATAATTATCACTCAATACCTGCTTTATGTAATTAGCATTGCTGATAGAATGTAATAAATCCATGTGTTGGCTGGAGGCGTCTAGGAGAAATCTAGAACCAAACTTTCTTCTTTAGACTAGCTCAAAAGATTTTAAGTACTTTTTAGAAAATATATTTTTTTGCATTTATTATGTTTATTTGCATTTGTTCTATTGATATGGTGCTTTTAAAAACACACTGCCGTTTTAACAATGTGCTTTGCACAGTAGTGTGTGTTTTAATAATTAGCTTTAAAACACATGGTCTGACAATTTTTTTAAATTTTTTATAAATTTTTTTTATTTTTTATAAATGCATTTAGAGATTATTTACACTGATAACACTGATTTCACTGATTTCACTGATCGCTGATTTGCCCTTCAGATCCAGAAGAACTTCTAATGGAATATTTGTAGGCTAATGTTCAATCTAGTCAAACTCTATTACTGCTTCCAAATGTAATAAATTGTTCTCTTTTACTTTAAAAAACTTAAATCAACAGTAATATTGAGTATAATTTGAGAAATTTGTAAAATAACATTACTTTGTTGTGTCCCTAACTGTAAGTCAGTCCTGTTACTGGAAGTGTATCAGTCTGTTTAAAAAAATCCACACAGTTCTAAAACTCGGACATGACATCATTAGATCTGATGAAAAAGATGGTTTAATGTGAACAACCTGTATTTTTATCAGACGTTTTGCTTGTAATGAATAGGGTTGTTAAGCCAAACACATCAGCTCTCTTATATATAATATATATTATATACAAACCTAAATGCTGTTACCATCAACTTGGTTACCAACGATTAGCTAAAGGGGAATTCCACCATTTTTTTCAAAATTTCTGCATAATTACATGGTTAAAATGTAAAGTCACTCAGACTGGTTTCATGTGAAATACAGAGTTAGAATTGTTCACAATGGTGGTGATGTCCACCTCTAAAAGCTCCCGCACAGGAAGTTATTACTTGTGAAATGGTTATGAATACACTGCCTGATGTCTAAAACATTGTTTTATGACAGTTTTGAGAAGATTTTGGCCTTACACTCTATCCATGGTGGAGGGATACATGTAGGGTGTTGTGAGGCAAAATAGTCCCAGAAGAAAACTTATTATTTCAGATTTTCCACTATTTTACCTTCATCTACATTCCATATAAAACTCGTGTAGGTTCACTGGTGGTTTTGATAGTAAATAAAATGTCAATATTTGTGTTGTAGTCATGGTGACCCCTGGTTTCTATCACTACCACTGTAAAGAAATCTGAACTATTTTACACCAAACCACTGTGAAGAACTCTGATTACATCTCAGAACTGAATTGTGCTGGAATGTTGAAAAATTGGTGGAACTCCCCTTTACCAGGGCTGGTGATCTTAAAAGTGTTTGGAAGGTTTGGGGCCATTGTCTACTTTTTAAAGAATGACCCATGTATTGTGCAGAGGGCGTTTCTTTTTATTTGTCTTCTGGGGCGCATTTTACAGATGATTAAACTTTCACATTTACCAATGCTCTGTGTATCTGTATATGTACTGGACAGCACTTTTCGTTAGACTTTTTGATTGGATCAAATTTACACACACACACACACACACACACACACACACACACACACACACACATACACACACCTATATATACATAAAACTTTGGTCTGATCAATATGGTCCAAGGCATCTTTCACACCAGCTTTTTGGATTCAGACCAAACTGAGAAATCCAAAGCACCATAAGATAATACAATAAAATCATAAATGCCCAAAGTGAGGCCAATAAGGGGGCTTGATTTGGCCCAGCAGTTATCCTAATCCCAACCCCCCTAACCCAGTGACAGAACAAACTTATGTTAATAATATATATAACGTTATAATTTCTCATGTTCTTAAAAACTTGTATTTTCGAAGTATTTTGGTAACAAAATATAGAGTAATGTTATAAAATACAATTTAAAAAAAGCTCGATTTGAAACCCACCTCCCTGATCACAGTAGGTGACCAGCTGGGTAATTTCTGTCCCCCAGGTAGTTCAGTATGTGTGTGCGTGTCTCTTTAAGAAAAACGCGTGTCGTGTACGGGCTCGTTCCTGTGACTGAATCCTCGCGCCTGATTGGCTGAGTCGTTACCCGTATGTACGTGCGCGCTCCTCTGTTTGGGCTCGCGATGGGGAGTTCGATTCTGTTTACTGAACCGATTCTTTCGAACTTTCCGAATCGAATATAAGAATCGACAGTCCAATTCAAGCGATTCATTTTCGATCCCATGATTAGTCGGATCTCAGTGGCGATGTTAAAAAATCTACACAGCACACAAATTGAATACTAAATAACATTAAACATATTTTGTAGGAGACACGTTCATAAATGTTTCATATGATGCTAATAATCTGAAGGTTTCAAACAATGTGTTGAAAACTGTGAAAAATGTAAAAATGTTTTATATTAAAAATTGCGATGAACGGAACTGGGGATTCCACGATAGTGGTGAAGGCTGTGCAGCTTCGAGAATGAACGTAAAGTAAAATGAATACCCAGAATGCCTCATAATTGAAAAGCAGCAACCATATCTTACTAATCACATTGCTATTCATAGTAACTCTTGGACAAGAAATGACTATAAAATAGATAATTACAGTTTACAAAATAGATAATTACAGTTTACAAAATAAATAAATAAATGTACAAAAATACATATTGCATTACTGGCAGTCTGCAGCAAATTATTATAAGGTTGCTCATCGTCATCACTGCTATTTCTATAGCTCCTTTCCATGCTTTGCATTCAAGGTTCTTAATACTCTACAGTGTGGTTCTTTATATTATGGGTTTTTGCAAACAACTTCGATTCATTTGGGACCTGCGAATCGGCTCGAATGATTCACTAAAATGAGTTGAATGACACGAGCGATTCGTTCCCGTCGCCAGTGTGTGTCACCTTGCTGAAGCTGCGGCGGAGGACCGGAGAAACAGCAGAGCCATGGCGGCCCCGGCGGACACAGCCAAGCCCAAAACATCCCCTAAGTCTATAAAGTTCCTGTTCGGCGGCCTGGCTGGGTAGGTACCGGAGAAATGAGGTTTAGCGGAGCTTTAGCTGGCTGACCAGCAGCGGGAGTTTAGCTAGCCCTGCAGCCGGGGAAGGTGAACCTTCAGCGTGTAAGAGGGTCACAGCTCTCCTGCTGGGGAGTCTGACCTCCACACCAAAGCAGTTAGCATTTAAACGCAGCTGTAAGCTCTGGATGTTGTTGGGGCTTTCATGTAAGTGTTGTTTTGTAGTTTTGATGCCCTAGCTAGGCTAGCTTTGAGGGCTAGCTGGCCCCGACTAGCCCAGGCATGCGTGTCAATCTGAGCTGCTGCAGCAAATGTCAAAGATGCTAAGAATGGCCTGCTCCCCAAAACGCACAGATAATAGTACACTCTGTGCCCCGTGGAGCAGGAAAGCTATGTCTTTAAATGCAGAACACGCGGGCCTTCTTTGCCCCACTAAGTTAAAGGGGAATTCCACCATTTTTTCAAAATTCCTGCAGTGGCTGAGATGTAAACAGTCATTCAGAGTAGTTTGGTGTGAAAGGGTTAAGATTGCTTTACAGTGGTGCTGATAGGAACCAGGGGTCGCCATGACTACAACACAAATATAGACATTTTGTTTAGTATCCATAGTATAGTATTTTTGAGCCACTCACTCGAAGCCCAGATTTCCACACTGAAGCTCTTATTTTTGACATATTGTGAGAAGAACCTTTTCACTGATAAGGACAATTATGCTTGTATGAGTTGACGGTAGAAAAGAAAGACAACATCCATCAACAAGATGGTTGAACACAATCAGAGGAATCATAAAGACCCAAACAGAAGACCGGACAATACCCGTATGGTCACCAAGAGGTGGAATCCAGTTGACTGCACATAATAATAGAAATAATAATAATAGTAATAGTAGTAATTATTATTATTACAATAATAATAACATTAAAAGTATTGGAGTTGGAATATACTTGGCTGCACATAATAATAGTACTACTACTGCTACTACTAATAATAATAATAACAGCAGTAGTATTGCACTGTCCAGCTGACTGCTGGTACAAAGAGAATGCCGAGTCTGTGGTGAGATAAGACGGTCTGTGATGTTCACTTTTGCACCATTAGGACTCAGTGGTATTGATTTTACTGTGTGTTTGTGTATTTTGGAGGTTTTGCAGTGAGTATTTGTTCTGCGCTCCCCATTACATCTGGCAAAACACATAAAACCAAAGGCCGAATCTACTTCAAACAGAACAAGGTTGAAGAGGAGGTCCACCACCATTTTTTTTCCAAATTCCATCATAATTAAGTGTTTGAGATGTAAACAGAGTGATTCAGAGTGGTTTGGTGTGAAATGGTTCAGATGTCTTTACAGTGGTGGTGATAGGAACCAGGGGTCACCATGACTTCAACACAAATATACACATTTTATTTACTATACAAAACCACCAGTGTGTTGTATAGTAAATAAAATAGTGAAAATCTCCAAGTGTCAAAATAATATGAAAGGAATTCATTCTCTCTCTCCCTCTCTCTCCCTCTCTCTCTCTCTCTCTCTCTCTCTCCCCCTCCCCCTCCCTCCCAGTATGGGTGCTACAGTCTTTGTCCAGCCGTTGGACCTGGTCAAGAACAGGATGCAGCTGAGCGGTCAGGGTTCAAGGGCTCGGGAGTATAAGACTAGCCTGCACGCTGTGGTCAGCATCCTCCGCAACGAGGGGATCCGGGGCATCTACACCGGGTGAGGGGGGTGAAATACTTTTAAACAGATGCTTTAATCGAGTGCTGTCCGCAACAGTTTGGTGACTATTAGGGGTGCAATAAATAATAATAAAAATTCATAATGTAATTTGATGATGTACGGTGGTGTCTGGAAACTTGCCTCACAGTATATGTTTTCATTTTCAGTTTATTAGAGCATTTATGTAAACTTTATAAAAGTCTAATGCTTTTACCGAAGGGTGTGCTTTAGTGTTGCAATCTACAAATATATTAGCCCTAAGTTAACACGTTAGCCACAACTTTACATGCACAATACAGCACAATACAGCACAATATGCTTCAATACAGTTCAGTACAATTTCATACAGTTCGATACAGAACAGTACAGAGTTATATTTCTAGTGTTTTGTGATGCATTTAACTGAATCAACTGATTTTGGAACGTTAGAATCAATTATAACAGTGATCATTTACTCTTTCTCTCTCTCCCTTTCCCTCTCCTTTCTCTCACTCTGACTCTCGTATTTTCTTTCACTTCTGTTTTTTTGCCTTCTCCCTCTCTCTTCGCATTTTTTGCTTCTCTTGTTTCTGTTTGTCTTTTTTGCTCTCTTTCTCTCTCTCTCTTGCTCTCTGTCTCTCCTCCAACTATTTCCTCTTTTTTCTCTCTCTAACTCTCCTCCAACTGTCTCCTCTTCCCTTTTTCTCTCTTACTCTTTTACTCTCTCTCTTCCAACTATCTCCCCTCTCTCTCTCCCAACTGTCCTCTTCCTTTTCTCTCTCTTACTTTCTTTTACTTTCTCTCTTTCTCCCCAACTATGTCCTTTTCCCCTTTTCTCTCTTACTCTCTTTTATTCTCTCTGTGTGTGTCTCTCTCTCTCTCCCCAACTGTCTCCTCTTCCCTTTTTCTCCCTCTCTCTTACTCTCTCTCTATTTCTCTCTCTCTCTCTTTCTCATTCACTCTCTCCCTCTTTTCTCCCCCTCTGCCAACTGTCTCCTCTTCCTTTTCTCTTTCTCTCTTACTCTTTCACTCTCTTTTTCTTTTGTCTTGTGTTTTTCTTTCTATCTCTCTCTCTCTTTTTCTACATTTCGTCTTGTTTTCTCTCTCTTCCTGCAGCCTTTCAGCCGGTCTCCTCAGACAGGCCACCTACACTACCACTCGTTTGGGTATTTACACAGTCCTATTCGAGAAAATGACCAAAGCGGACGGAACCCCGCCGAATTTCTTCATGAAAGCCGTGATCGGAATGACAGCCGGAGCGACCGGAGCTTTCGTGGGAACCCCGGCCGAGGTGGCGCTGATCCGGATGACCTCGGACGGACGGTGAGTTGGTGTCTTGATCTGGGATCAGCCCGGCCGCTGCTGATGAAGACACATTCAGCAGAATGCAGTATAAAAACTGAAGGCTGCTGAAATCGTTCATCTTTAAAGTAATGTTTCACTGAAAACTCATATTCATTCTCTCCCTTTATTTAGTTTCGTGACTGAGCTTATTTAGTTTCGAGGCTGGTGTAATTAGTAATCCATGCTTTGTTAGCTAAATTAGCCTCAAAGCTCCTGCACTAAACCAACAGAAGCAAAGTTCAGACACCAAACATGCCTTGGCTCGTTACGTTGGCATAATTTTTAATTGAATCATGAGGTGGCGATGGAAAAACGTCCCATTTTGTCGTGTTATTGTTGTGTGAAGTGTTATTTTTCAATTTTTCTTCTCTCTCTCTCTCTCTCTCTATCTCTCTCTCTCTCTCTCAGTCTGCCCCCAGACCAGAGGAGAGGTTATAAAAACGTCTTCAATGCCCTCTTCAGAATCACCAGGGAGGAGGGAGTCACAACTCTGTGGAGGGTGAGTATGTGTTAGTTAAATAGTCAGTGAGTTACAGTTACTGTGGATTCCCCATTAAAAATCGTGTTTAATGCGTCTGGTTAACAGAGCAAGATCGTTTTAGTGTTGATGAGAGTCTGTAGGTCAGCCATCGTCTCTCTATTAGCTGTATAATGAACACAGCGTGTTAATATTTATCAGAATCGAGCTAACAAGCATTTACTGTTTCTCAGAGGCCGATCTGTAAGGTTTTACAGGGGCTGGAAAAGAGAAACAGTGGCAGGGTTGTGTAATTATTATATTTTCCCATGTTATATTGTAGTTTAGGCTGCATGATTAATCATTTTTTTTAGATATCACGTTAAACACATCATTAAGGGCTGCAATGACAATAATTTAAGTTACATAATGTGCACAGTATTATTATTATTATGAGTTATTATTTCGGCAGGAATTTGATAGGGCTGCACCTAATGATTACTTGTCATGCCAAATATTAAATTGCTTTTGTTGTTACTTTTGTTTTTATCTGCTAAATCGAAAGTATGATTGAATAAAAAAAAAATGGCTTTTAATTGTTTAATAAAGTTCCCAAATAGCTAATAAAATATGTTACTTCATTTCTCATTTACTTGGTATTTTAATTTTTCAGTTTACAGTGACAGCTGTTTTATCATTGGTTAAAAGTTTCTGCATTAATGGTTTAAGGGTAATGTATGCAACATTGCTGTCCCGAAAACATTCTAAAACATTTTTAACATCGTCCTGTGCTTTGGTGTTATCCTCCACGGGACACATGATATAATACACTGTAAAACGGCAGTATAAAAGACTAAAGAATGTCAGTTGAATGGATTACACGCTTCAGATGTCCATGTTTCAGTCAGACATGTCAAGTTCAGAGTCTTGAACTGTAAGTATTTAGGGAGTACAGAGTTTCGAAATTGCAGCCTTTACAGCCAAACAGTGCAATGTTTATCGAGTACGGATGTGGCAAGTCCCAAACGACTATTTCTTAGCTATATTTACACTGTTGGGCTGCAGGATCCAGTACTTAAATTCCTACGTAGTGCACTATGTAAGGAGCAGGGAGTGATTTGAGATTCAGCCCCAGCACAAGAAGAGGAGAGCTGTTAGAATGGTGTTATTTAGGTCTCATGGTGGCAATCTGGTGACCAAAAAGCACTTATGTGATATATTGCATATATTGCATTTATTACCAAGAATGAGAGAGTATGTTGGCTAGTTGTAGTTGACTGTACCAGGTAGAAAAGACCACATGACTGAGGTTATCACAAGCTCTGGAATAAAGAGTGTTTGACCAGATTAAAAGCCTTCAGCACTCCCGTTTTCACTGAGGGTGGTTAAAAATATGTTGTTTCCTCTGCTTTCCAAGTTCAACACTTTAATACAGCTTGATATGAAAATAATTATCAATGACTGTATTTTATTTTAATTTTATTAAAAAGAAAAATAAATCAATAGAATATTTGCAGTGCAAGTAACAACAAAACCTGCATTTTTTTACTTATTAAGGTGAGAAGTTTTATTCAATAGAGTTTAAAAAATAACAAAAATAAAATAAAATGCTAAAATATTTTAGTTATTTTATCCTGGCTTGATTTGTCGTTTGTTATTTTGTTGGTTTATTCAGATTTGATAATTTTTTTATTTTTATTTTTTTTCTCCTTAATTTTTATTATTATTATTATTATTAATTTTTTTTCTTTGATATGTCTTTGTCAAAGCTTTTGGTATGTTTTTACAGTCTTTTACTTTTCTGCATAATCTGAGCTACTTTGTAAATGAGTGTCACCCTCAGGGTACTCTGCGTTTAAATTAGGATTGATTGATTGATTGATTGATTGATTGATGTCTACAGCCCCAGTATATGAGTGTATCATAGGCATGCTGTTATTGCGAAATTCTGACCATTCTACATGAACTGTTCCCTTTTCGTGTTTCCTGATTCACAGGGTTGTATACCCACTATGGCCCGTGCAGTAGTAGTGAACGCAGCACAGCTGGCTTCATATTCTCAATCCAAACAAGCTCTTATGGAAACTGGTGAGTTTCTTCACAGCCTTATCGTTCTTACTTACACCTACACCTTATCTCGTCAGTCCCTGAAGGCTGCAAGTGCTGCACCTTAACCCTTCAGAAAGATTAGGAAAGACAATAATCTGATAAATGTACAGAAAAATATGCTGAGCAATATTTTCAGTGCTTCTTTGAACAAAGTTGAACTTGTAAGAACTTTCTGATCTGTAGGATTGAACTCTCATTTTTTAACCTGCAGCGAATTACCAGGTTGTTGTTGTTGTTGTCATCTGAGTTGTAAAAGGTGTTACGTGGCCATTTTTATGAGAGGTTATTGATTTAAATGCCTTTCTTTATTTCGAAGTAGTAAGCAGGCTAAGCCAAACAGAAAAATGTGACCCTGAATGCTAATCTGCTGTAATAGTAGTGTTGTAATTGGATATTAGCTGTAATAGACTTATGGCAGTGAATGGCCTCATGTGGGTGCAATGCTGCAGTTTGTGACACAATACCAGTTGTACTGAAGACTGTGCATGTTTGTGTTTACAGGGTATTTCTCAGATAACATCTTACTTCATTTCTGTGCCAGTATGATCAGTGGGTTAGTGACCACTGCAGCCTCCATGCCAGTAGACATCGCCAAAACCAGGTAAAGCCTGCATTCATCTCTTCAAAGATCCAGACCTGTGCTTTGGTTTATTGATCTTATCATTAGGGATTTGTGTTTTGGCTCATTTTGATTTCCGAGTATCTGTAAAGGCCTTTGCACACAGAGCAGTAAATTAATTCACATGTATAACTGAAGATCTTGCACACCAAACACTTGTACGGTGAAAATGCAACGCTCTTTTATTCACCGTCTATCTGTTTTTTTGCAAACGCTTTCACCAATCACAGTTGTCCGTAGTGTTGACATGGCGATAACCAAGATGACAAGTTGGCTGTGTCTCAATGAAAAGAACTTTTTTGCAAATGTCATAAGGATCAGAATCTCCAAAAGCAGCTCAGACTGGGCTACAGACATGTGGAAGCACTCAGTTCCAGCTCCTAAATGATGCAGTAAAGCCCCTGTGCTATTTTCATTTGTCCAAAATAAAAAGTAGCCCAGGGTCACTATTCGCTTCTTCTGTAAGGAGTGAAGGAGATCTTATGTGCACTTTTGTGCCATTTGTTTTGTGCTCCATCTCCTGTGGAGCTGCATCTCTACAGTCAGCTCAGACTGAGTTACAGAGAGCAGAGATGTGAGTGACAGAACTCATGTTTCAGCTTCTGAATGAGGCAGAGAATCACAGTGGAAACACACCTGTTTTGTGAGAGGCAAATGACCTTTTGATAGATATTCTGTCTTTTTTCACAACACGAACAAGAAGGTTAATTTCCCCAAAAATTGGGTAATGTCCAGTGTGTGTAGTTTTGATGCGAAAAAATATAGCATTTTTGTGTTGTTTATTCACTTTATCACTTTTGGTGCGAAACTGCCTTAAAGGAGAATTCCACCCTTTTTTTTTTTTAAATTGTACATAATTAAAGGGTTGAGATGCAAATGAAGTCATTCAGATTGGTTTGGTGTGAAATGCTCTGTTCTAGAGAAACTTACCAAGTCAGAACTGTTCACAGTGGTGGTGATAGGAACCAGACGTCCACCTCTAAAAGCTCCCTCACATAAAGTTTTAGACATATTCTGCCTGATATCCGACACACTGTTTCATAATAGTTTTATGATAAAGTTTTAGCTAAAAATGTGTTTTAACCCATTTCATTTTATACATAATGCGTAATATGCAGGGTGCTGTGAGGCAAAATAGTCCCCAAAGAAAACATATTATTTTAGATTTTGCACTATTTTACCATCATCAACATTCCATATAAAACTCAGAAGACACGTATAGGTTCACTGGTGGTTTTGGACAGTAAATAAGTGCTAAATTTGTGTTGTAGTCATGGTGACCCCTGGTTCCTATCACCACCACTGTAAAGACATCTGAACCCTTTCAGACCAAATCACTCTGTTTACATCTCAAACACTAAATTATTCAGAAATTTAGAATTTTGCATTCCCACTTTAAGGTTTACTCGCACCAGCGCAACACACACGAACACACCACCACCACGTCAGTGTCACTGCAGTGCTGAGAATGATCCACCACCCAAATAATACCTGCTCTGTGGTGGTCCTGTAGGGGTCCTGACCATCTGTAATTGTAGAACTACAAAGTGCTCCTATATGGTCAGTGGAGCTGATAAAATGGACACTGAGTGTAGACATATTGCATTAAAAGGCTAATGTTTTCCACACAGTGTCCAGTGCAGGCAGCTGTTCGCTATTGCTGACTAGAACTTAGCGGAAAAACAAAACTTTGTTTCCCGTCTGAATTATGAAATCACTGCATGGGGGCGCACATACATGGATGTGCGGATAGCCAATGTAACTGACTGAGTCCCATGAGTTGTGTCTAGCTTTGTGTGCAAACACTGAGCCTCTGGAGTTGAGACTAACTGCACACTGACTCATTAGGTGTTGACTGTGTTGTGTACAGAGCCTGAACTCATGTTTGCGTCTTTCTGTCCATTTCAGGATTCAAAACATGAGAATGATTGACGGCAAGCCAGAGTACAAGAACGGACTCGTGAGTAGATTTGTAGAACCATGTGAAGGAAATGGTAGCAATCACAAAGGAGCTCTGAAAAAGACTCTCACCTGTTTTACTTTTGCCATTTCTCACATTTTTAAATGTCCTGCTTGTAGCCTGTATAGGATGACAGTGCAATTTCATTATCTGTGTCAGCAAGTGCTAAATATAGATGACTGATTCCTTTTATGTTCATGTATTTTATCTAACGCATTTTTGTCTAACACGAATATAACTAAAAATATTGCTGGTGTTGGAAGAAAACCTTGTATTTCCATTTTTGTTGTTTTTCAGTTTTTGGCATAATTTGATTTAATTTGTTGCCCTTTACATTGTCTGTAAATTTCAAGAATGGGCCAATAGAAACAACCCAAAATGTCTTGGAAAAAAGTCTTGATCTGAAGATAACTATCGTGAGATCACAAGATAATTAAGTTAAAAGTAAAGTACGTTTTTTTCTTTTCCTCTAAAGTTACCGTTTTGGAGATACGAAGTTTTGTTCCGACAGCAGCGATATAAAGAATCTGCACTGTAGACTGTGTATTATACTGTGTGTAGACTGTGTATTATCGTACTACTATCTACTACTATAATTATTATTAGAGCAATATCTTTAAAACAATACTATATATGCTACTAGTACTACATTGTAATAGCTACCTTCACTTTTTTAATCTCATTAATGACTACCTTAGTTTACATCACATGTAAATAATATAACTTATTATATAACTTAATCAGGCAAGTCAGATACATATTTCATATCTTGCTAGCCAGGTGATCAACAAACTTAATTCTCTTTCTCCAGGATGTGCTGGTGAAAGTGGTGAGAAACGAAGGTTTCTTCAGCCTGTGGAAAGGTTTTACTCCGTATTACGCTCGGCTCGGCCCACACACAGTGCTCACCTTCATCTTCCTCGAGCAGATGAACAAGTTCTACAGGATCTACTTCCTGGATTCATAGGTTACCATGGAAACCCTCTCACGCTGGGCCGGTGGAGGTCTGGACCAGGTCCAGAGGGGTCAGTTTGCGCATGATTACCGTCTGACTGTGCCAGCCAGCATCACATGACTCGTCCGTGAAAGTGTTCTTTCATAGCAACTGTTGCTAGGTTTGACTAGCTTCACTGAGAACTGGTAAAAAATCCCTTTCAGCCAAATAATAAAAAAAATTCAATCATTTGCTCTTTTATAGAGATTTTTTATGGTATACAATTTAAATTTTGACTTTATTTGTCTCCATTATTGAAGTCTGAAGAGGCCATGAGCTGTGGCTATAATTTTCTGGGTTGTTATCTTGAGATCACAGCTTAATTGTGTTGTGATCTCAAGACAACAACTTAATTGTAATAATAATCAAGTCATGATCTCAAGATCACAAGATAATCGAGTCAAGATATTAAGATCATATCGTTATCTTAAGATCACAAGATAATTAAATCATGATCTCAGGATAACAACTTTTATCTCGAGATCACCAGGTAAATAATGGTCTCAGGATAAATTTATCGTGTGATCACAGGATAATTAAGTCTTGATCTGAAGATAACTATCGTGAGATCACAAGATAATTAAGTCATGATCTCAAGATCTCAACTTTTATCTCAAGATCAAAGGATAATTAAGTCATGATCTCAAGATCACAACTTATATCTCAAGATCGCAGAATAATTAAGTCATGATGTCAAGATAACATTGTTAAGTCATGATAATTAAGTCATGATCTCAAGATCACAAGACAAAATAAAACTTGATTACACAACAAAAAACTACCCCATCTATCTAAATCCTTCACTCACATACAAAATAAATATCTTCTTGCAATTAATTTCAGCTCTAAATTTACTAATTTTGGTAACAAGTTGAGCGCTGTGTGCTACGCTTTTGCATTCGGTTGAATGGGAGGATTTTTCCAGCCTGCTGTAAAGCCTCTCCAACCTCTTCACAGCAGCTGAGAAAGTGGGCGGAGCTTTATAGATCAATCGATGTGAACTTGTGTCACCATTGCCTGTGTGTGCTGGCGGGCGCAGTTTCAGATAAAGTGCTGGACTAAATCCCAGCATCTGCGCTGACCCTCAGGGACTCCGGTCCCGTCCGTCTGCTACATTTGGCAAACTGGCAGACGTTTGGACTCTGATAGAAAACAAAAACACACAAAACACAAACAAAACTCAACCGACTGACGCACTGACCAGCAGACTGGACCCGATGTACCCGACCCCTGATGGCCACCACTGATCATTACATGCTTACTTACAGATTAGTTGAGTGATTTGTTTTTTTTTTCCTTCTAAAAACTTAGGCAGATTCAGACAGTAAACATTTACATTAAACCCAAGAGCAAACAAAAGTATCGCTCCACCTCTCTCTCTCTCTCTCTCTCTCTCTCTCTCTCTCTCTCTCTCTCTCTCGCTCTCTCTCTCTCTCTTTTTCCCTCCTTCTCTCCATCTGTTACTGACATTAACTCAAGCACACGTGGTTTTGTGCTGCGTTCACTGCCGACTTCAGGTTGGAGAACACAAGAGATTGTCTTTCTAAGTCGTTCCGCTCCAAATCATGTGATACAGTGTGGTCCACTGTATCTATAATAACTGAGCTCGCTGTGTGATGAGCTCGTTCATCTCCTCTACTTTTTGTTGAAGATTGTAACTGTTTGGAATCGTGTGAAGCTGTTTTAACTTTTAATTCAGTTTCTTGACCTCAGGGTAAAATGATGAGGTCATCAATGCTAGTAAATGAAATTTACTTGTAAGAATGAATTCTAATGTGAGATTTCAGTTTATGGTGTTTTCCTGGTTTGCTTTAATGGGATGAGATGTTTTTTTTCACTAGTGCAAATTCTAAATTTGAAAACATTAATTCAGTTAGTTCAGAAGTAGAAGCTAAATATGTCATTATTACATGTTCGTTTTCTCAGTAGTCAAAAACAGAACTTATTAGAACTAAAATACAGTTCATGCTAGTAACATTTGAACATTGACATTAAATTTTTCTTAATCCTTTTCAATTTCAGTCGTACTAATAACATTTTTACTTGATCAAATTGAGAACATGATATAAGTAAACTGTAGATCTGAAGCAGAGACGTTCCGTACTGAATGTGGGACTCCAAGCACAAATTAAAAGCTAATTAATAGAGTGTATTACATATTATTGTTATGATTATTGATCCATAAGAAGCACGGATTTTATTATCAGCCATGACATTAATGACAGTAATAACTGTGAAAATGATAAAACGGTTCACATAAAATACTGTACTTTCATTAAAAACAGTTTCGCTGCATTTTGAGTGACGTCTTAAAAACTAGAGTTTTTAATTCTTACCTCACATTTACTGTACACTTAAAGGTTTTCCAAGGGTTCTTTACTAAAGTGAATGGTTCTATATAGAATCATGAACACTCAAAGAACCCCATGATTAAAGGGTTCTTTGCATAGTGAAAGGGTTATTCAGATTGATGGATAATGTGCTGAAGATGATGCTATATAGAACCTTTATGGAAAGAGTCCTATATGACACCAGAAAGGGTTCTACTGTTACTACGATATCAAGTTTGTAACAATAAAAGTACACTTTTTGGTGCTATATAGAACCACATACAACAGTTTGTCCATCAGGAGAACACTTTTTACCACGCAAAGACCCTTTTAATCATGCAAAGGGTTCTTTGAGTGTTCATATAGTTCCATGGGGTTCCACAGGGTATATAGCACCAAAAAGGGTTCTTCTATTATTACGATGTCAAGCTTGTAACAATGAAAGAACCCTTTTTAGTGCTATATGGAACCCTTTTCAAAAATGTGCTATATAGAACCATATACAACAGATTGCATAGTAAAATGGGTTCTCCTGATGGACAGTCTGTTGTATATGGTTCTATATCGCGCTAAAAAGTGTCCTCCTATTCTTACAAGCTTGATATCGTAAGAATAGAAGAACACTTTTTGGTGCTATATAGAACCATATACACCCTATGGAACTGTATAGAACCATATTCTTCTCAAAGAACAAAGACCCCTGTAATCATGAAAAGGTTTCTTTGAGTGTTCATGGTTCTATATGGAACCATTTTCTTTACTAAAGAACCCTTGAAGAACCATCTTTTTAAGTGTGTGCTTTGGTTTGATGGTGTTATTGGCATTGAATTTCCATCTTAGCGTTATTCCTCCATTCCTGTGGGATTCACTGACAGATAATACACAGTTAGATGTTCTGTGGTCATCAACTCTTTTGACTTTGACGGAGGTTCGTACAGTGGAGAGGTCTTCTGATAGTGTTTTCTCAGTTTAGCTGCTCGGTGAATAGAATTAGTGTTTTTTTTTCTCCTAATCAGTTTTTTTTTTTGATGAAGAGCTGGTTCAGAGTAAGTGTACAACTCCCACCCGTACAGTGATATCTGTAGCTCTCATGATGTAAAAGAGAGGATTAAATCTTTTTTCTGCCTGCGTGTTGGTGTTTTTTTTCTTTATTATTTGACATTGTTCATTGAACTTGTGTAAACTGGTGCTGCAGATTATTAAAACCGGTGAACAGTAAACTTTCTATTTGTTTCACTGTGGAAATGTCGCTACAATTGAGTTTCACCTCCGACAGACTGGACAAACACGATTTATTTTGTTTATTTGTAAACAACAATCCTAACATCTCACGTAATAGCTTTTGGACATTTGTGTGCCTTATTTTCTAAATATGTGCCGTACGGGAATATAATGTATTTTTCCAATACATTTTGTTTCATTTCATCACTAAAACACACTTCCAGCTTTACACACAGCACATTATGCTTTGAAAAATGGATATATTTTTCATATCTTCTATGCTCAGTCTGAGGTGCGGGAGTAAGATGCCCTCTTGTGGCAGTAGTTTTTTCTTAACCTCCTGTAGGTTAACATATTGTGTGTTTACAAATGGGTGGAGACTTAGGCCCAATCCCATTTCTTTTTTTTACCCCTACCCCTTGTTTTCGAGTGTCACCATGCCCCTTGGAACTGAGTTACAAGGGGTATTGGTTAAAATCTTCCCTACGAAATGGGACCCTCCAATAAAAAAGAACATTACTTCATTAACAGCTACCAGCGCTTCTCTGTAGGCGACCCTGCCAGTCTGCAGTGATAGCAGAGGAGGGTAAAGGTCAGCAACCTCGCTACTGGGCTTTAGTTGCATTTGGGGCATCGTTTGCTTTTAAAGAGGAGGATACAGCGATTATTTATTATCGCCCACGTCTAATTCTTCAGTGATAAAAAGCTGAAGTCAGCTATTCGCCAGCTTCTCTTTTGAATTTTTTCCAGTCCACCTTAAATGGTGCTGCAGGTTTGATGCCTGAGGCTCCAGATTGTAACTGCTGGTTGAATGGGAATGCTTTCTAGTTATATATATATATATATATATATATATATATATATATATATATATATATATATATATATAGTTCTTCAAGGGTTCTATAGTAAAGGAAATGGTTCTGTTTACAACCATGAGTTCGGTATAGAATCATTTAATTTCATTCTTCTTTGCATGGTGAAATTGTTCTTGATGGAGAATGTGTTGTACATGGTTCTATACAGAACATTTATTTTTGTTGCAAGCCTGACATCATCACAATAGCAGAACCCTTTTTGCTGCTACACAGAACCATATACAACACATTCTCCATCAGTCTGTAAAGAACCATTTAAGCATGAAATGATTCTATACAGAACTTGTGGTTCTGTATAGATCCATTGCCTTTACTAAAGAACCCTTGAAGAATCATCTTTTTTAAGAGTGTAGGGGTCTTTGTTGTCCACTAGGGGCGGTATGGGGTTCTGCTCTGCAGTCGGTCTGCAGTGTTATTGTAGGAGAAGGCGCAGAAGAAGAGTGTTCAGCATGGCGGACCTGCTAGGCTCCATTCTCAGCTCCATGGAGAAGCCTCCAACAGTCGGCGATCAGGAGAGCCGGCGGAAGGCCAGAGGTACAAACACTGTAACAGCTTTATTCGGGTCGAAACAAACCGAGAAACACTCTGAACCGATTCCCCAAACCCGGATTAACCCCGAGTTTACACTGCAGCTCAGTGCTAATGCTAACTCTGCGCTGAAAATCCCCATTTTTAGTCTCGTTTTAGGCTTCAGTTTGGTTTTGAATGTGAATTTGCGAGGGTCGATGTTTGTTATTGTTGTTTACCTCGCTGCCCTCTGCGGCGCTCGCTCTTAAAATAAATAAATAATGATAAAATAATAAACCATCCAATCGTAACCCGAGAAATTGTTTCGGGTCGCTGACGTCAGCGCCGTACTCGATTCTGATTCGCTGTTGCGGGAGCCGCGGGCGGCGCTCATTGGATCAGGTCTCAAGTCACTATCTGCAAACCGATATTGTAACATAATCATGATTAATATTTTATGCATTTAAAAATAGTAAATGTGTTGTAATATAATTACTATTATATTTTATTTTTAATTTTTAAATACAATTATTAAAACATTAAAAAGTAAATAAAATATTGTCTTTTAATATGTATTATTACTTAATACATTAAAAAGTAGTTAGTAAAGCAAGATAATAATAATTATTAAGATTTAATACATTATTTAGTGGTTAATTCATATGCTCGTCTGGCAGCTGTAGTTTATGACAACTTTAACTGATAAATTCAAGAGCGGTAAACATCCATCAAATTATAGTCTGATCATTTTCCATCTTCACTAAAATGAAGCTAGTTTAATGTCCTGGAGTTGGTTCTGTAAGTGCGTCCCACTTTGACCTTTTGGGTTCGCTTTAACAGAGCAGCAGGCCCGTCTGAAGAAGATGCAGGAGGAGGAGAAGAGGAAGAAAGCAGAGTTCAGGAAAAAGGTCTTGGTTCTTTCATTATAATCACATTAATCAGTCTGACATTTTTAGCTTAGCCCCGATTTCTGTTTGTTAAAAGGGGATTCCACTGATTTTTCAGAATTTCTGAGTATTTCAGTGTTTGAGATGTAAACAGAGTGATTCGGAGTGGTTTAGTATGAAATGGTTCAGATTTCTTTACAGGGGTGGTGATAGGAACCAGAGGTCACACAAATACGGCGATTTTATTTACTATCCAAAACCACCAGTGACCCTGCTTGTGTCTTCTGGATTTTTATATAATGTTCATAATGGTACAGTAATAAATATAAGTTTTTTGGGGGGACTATTTCGCCTCACAACATCCTGCATGTATCTCTCCACCACACATTTATCTTAAAACTACTGTAAAACAATGTCTCAGGCATCAGGCAGTGAATTCATAACCATTTCATGTAATAACTTTCTGTGAGGGAGCTTTTAGAGGTGGACGTCTGGTTCCTATCACCACCACTGAACAATTCTGACTCTGTAAGTTTCTTTAGAACTGAGCTTTTCACACTAAACCACTCTGGATGACTCTGTTTATGTCTTATCCATTTAATTATGTAGAAATTTGGAAAAATCAGTGGAAATCCCCTTTGATACTGAACTTTATTAGTATATTCAGTTGTATATTGTTTTTTCCCTTTTTACTTTTGTGACGTTCTTGTGCTTCCTGTGCATATTAATGTTGTTGTTGTTGTTGTTGTTGTTGTTGTTGTTATTATTATTATTATTCATGTACAGCATTTTCTGTCATGTAAAAGAGAGTCTAACAGGCATTCTCTCTGTTTTTAAGAGCTGAGAGTTTTCCTAGAAAGCATCCTATTGCTGGTGTTTATTCTTTTTCCTCCTCTCTGCTGTGTGTTTGTCAGATGGAGAAGGAGGTGAATGATTTTATTCAGGACAGCGCTCTGCAGAAGAAGAAATACGAACCAATGGGGAAGATAGAGAGGAGCATCCTGTACGTGAAGATACACAAAATGCATCTAGACAGACCACACAGCAGTTTGCACAGCACCTACTGCCTTTACCACCCTTAATGTGTACTGACAGATGGCCTGTGTCAGTGTACTCAGTCCATTTATAACAATAAGACTGACCTACCTTGGAAAATAAATGCTCTAAAAAACTAATTAGGCCTAAAATAAATCTGATTGGAAACATTCAGACTTCACTTCTACCACATTTTTTTTGTTCTGCTGTAAATGTCCATAAATGGCAACTCAAAAATTAGAGAAATGTGGAATTTGGTTTGGCCAAACTTTTGCATACGACTGCATACAATACTGAAGCAAAACGTTGTGTCTCAATTTTTGTAGGTTTTTTCCTCCCTACATAATTAATAAAAACACAGAGTGCTATTTACATTGTGTCAAAACATCTTGATGAACGGAACAATAGAAATGATCCTAGGTGCAGTGTGTAAGATTTAGGGGAGGGTCTATTAAAAAAAAAATTGAATATAGTAAACAAAACCATGTTTTCATTAGTGTATAATAACCTGTAATTCCGAATCGTTGTGTTTTTGTTAGCTCAGAATGAGCCCTTCATATCTACATAGAGAGCAGCCCCTCCTACAACAGAGGCTGCTATGTTGCGCTGCCATGTTTCTGCCGTGTTTTTACACTGAAGCAGCAGCTTGAATTTGGTGACGCCGTAGCTTCAGTTGGGAGACGTAGAAAGAAGAATCAGTGATTGGTGCTGGTGCTGTCTGGCCGTTCTGTGTTGTGAGAAGTTTGAGAACCCAAATTTTGACAAATGGAGGATCATATTTATTATTTGGAACAAGAAAAAGCAAGGGAGGGTGAATCCTCTCTGTCAAAGAAGAGAAAACAAGAAGAAGCAGAAAACGTGACAGCCTCCGTTGGTTCTACTACACGCTTGGGAAAGGAGGGGTGAGGTGATTCAATTGGTTGCAATCTGCAAAATCATCGCTGGATGCCACTAAATCTTACACATTGCGCCTTTAACTTGTGTTGAAAATGAGTTTTTCCTTCATAGTAACCTCTCCACTTTGTTGGGGATGGAGTGTAGTGTAAGTATGTATATGTGTAAGTCCTGTATTCACTGTTTATGCTCTTCTCTCTCAGGCATGATGTGGCTGAGGTGGCAGGGCTGACGTCGTTTTCGTTCGGAGAAGATGAAGAGAGCAGATACGTCATGCTCTTCAAGAAGGTCAGCAGTTATGGGAGCTTCGAAAACCTTGACATGTTACCATGGAAACCACATGGCTTTTAGCCAATTTACTGATAGTTTAGAGTTCTTCGTGGTTTATCTTCTCCCACCGTGTTTGTTCCTGTGCGTGTGTATAAAGGAATTTGCCCCGTCGGATGAGGAACTGGAGGCGTATCGAAGAGGAGAGGAGTGGGACGTGGCGAAAGCCGAGGAGAGACGCAAGCTGAAGGTGAAAAACACAGCACTAAAACTTATAAACTTTACGGAAGGAACTGCATACATTACATGCACATATGGCCAATATTTAGTTGTGATTTCATATTAGTTGTTTCATAATTTCATTACTTACACATCACTTTGCAAAGGTCATGTGTCATTATTATTAATTATTATTATTATTGTTGTTGTTGTTGTTATCAT